AAAGGGTGGGAAAGGCCCCCGATGCATTCCCCTTGTCCAGGGCTCTTCGGGAATTCTCCAAGGCCAACCCGCCCCCCTCCCCGTGTCCCCTGGAGCCACTTGAGAGAAGATTCGGCTTCGAGGGCGGCCTTTTTATTTTACCTTCCTGCCCGCATTTCGGTCCCTGTGCCAGTGCCTCTGTGCAGGGGATGGGAGGCCCAGGCGTGAGAACCCCTAGGGTGCCCGCTGTTCCAGCACAGGGAGACGGAGCACGCATTCCGGCCCCTCCCTGAACCAGCCGCTGACCTGGGCACACACTCTGTGCGCCCCCCCCAACCCGAGTTTGCTCATCTGTGGAGTGAAGGGGTGGGGCGGCTTCTCGCTCAAGTGTTTTTCCATTTGAAGTCTTTGAGCCTGTGGTTACTTCCTTTTTTCATCAACAGCCAGCGCTATCAGAAGTCTGTTGACTTGAAAGTTTTGATGTTGGCATAAAAGTCAAGCTTCGCTGGGACGGAGACTAGGTCAGGCTTCCCAGCGTGGGGCAGAGGGAAACATCCCGGAAACACCCGTGCAAGAGGCACCCACCGATGCTCACATTCAGGGCCACCGCCGGTTCAACCGGCACCTTGGACTGGAAACAATCACCCCCTCGGGGAACCCTGGGAGGCACGTGGGTGGTCCGTGGCCCAGCCCAGGAAAGACTGGCCGCTTTCAGCCCCTCGAGCTCCCAGGAGCCCTTGCAGCCGTGTGTAGCCCGCTTAAGCGTCAGTAAGGCACTCACTCTGGGGTCCTGGCCGCTGCGGGCGAGGGGTAAAAGGGGAAGCGGCCAGAGTAGATGTGTGCTGTTAGTGTGACAGGAGACGCAGCTACTGCCTTGAATTATCTCCTGCAGGTAAAAGGCTGCAAGCCTGGGCCCAAGACGCTGGCCAGGTCCAGCACCTGCACAGTCCACCCGATGGCTTCCAGAGGCTGGATGAGTAATAATAGAGTCCTTTATGCTTTTACAGAACCTTACGATTTCTGCAGCACATTCAAAGCACTTTCTTGTTCAACTTGACCCTGATTTTAACCATGGCCCCGGCGAGTAATAATTATCCCCATTTAAATTTTTTAAAGATAATTTTTTTGAAGATTTTACTTATTTTTAGAGAGAGAGCAGAAAGGATTGAGAAAGAGAGGAAGAGAAACATCAATGTGTGGTTGTCTCTCGTGTGGCCCACACTGGGGGCCTGGCCTGCAACCCAGGCGTGGGCCCTGACTGGGAATCGAACCAGTGACCCTTTGGTTTGCAGACTGGCACTCAATCCACTGAGCCACACCAGCCAGGGCTATTTATTTTATTTTTAGATGGAGGGGAAGGGAGGGAGAAAGAGAGGGAGAGAAACATCAATGTGTGGTTGCCTCTCGCACGCTCCCTACTGGGGAACCTGGCCCATAACCCAGGCGTGTGCCCTGACTGGGAATCCAACCTGAAACCCTGGGGTTTGCAGGCCGCTCCTCAATCCACTGAGCCACACCAGCCAGGGCTTATTAATTCCATTTTAAATGTAAGGGAAACGAAGCTGGGAGATTCAAAGGCTTGTTCAAGGGCAAGCCAGTCAGGGGTCAAGATAAGAGTTGAACCCATGTCTCTCTAGTTCTAAGTTCAAGGCTATTCTTCCTTCCACACCAGGTCCTCTGTGCCTCTGACCTGGGCATCCTGACCTGGGCAGGGGCAGCCAGACCCAAAGCACTACCCTGTAGGGGGGTGAGAGTTGGTCTGAGAAACTCATCCTCCTGTTGGAATGACCGTGGGGCTCTCCCACACAGGTGCAGTGAGTTTCGGGGGGCTCTTGGCAGATCTTACAGTTGAGCCAAAGTAGTCATTTCTCTCAGTGGACATGATTCCCAGGGATTGGTTTGTTTGGTTAAACCCATGTGCATGCACATCCTGTGTGCCCTTAACCCAGGATGCTCTCCAGTATCTCAGGTATCGTCCTGCAAGGCGCCCGGAGAAAGCCTTGGGCGCCTAGAGAGAGCCATTTGGAAGCCAGCACGTGATATGAAAAGACCCTCTATAGGCCTTTCCTGACAAATCCAAGACTCTCTCTCGGCAGCCCCTGGTCTCTCGAGGCTCCTTCGGCTCCTTCAACACGGCGTTCGAGTTCCACTGGAGCAGCCTCCAGCTCTCCCTGAGCGCCAGAGCGGAGCGCTCCCTGCCGGCCACGCAGCTCCGCCTGGACCTCTCCTGGGAGGAGCCAGCATTCACGTATCTACAGGGTTCACCGCCGCCATCTCCCACAATCCGCTTCCCAAACCCGCTCCGCTGCAGTTCCTGGGATGTCCACTGCACGCGTCACAATGCACCCCACCCCCACCCAGCTCAACACTGAGTAGGCGTCCTCTCTCCCATGCACTGGTCCGTTACCACATTCAGCTGGGCACCAGGCGCCTTGATCCTCCTTCCTAAATGCACACGGAAGTCCACTCTCTCTCCTCGGACCCCACTGCCGCCATCTGACTCAAGGTTCTCCTCTTCTCTGCATCCCGTCTCTGCAAACCAGCTTCCTCTGGCCACTCGTCGTCTCTCCAAGCACAAATCTGACCGAGTCCTTTCCCTGCTTAGCAACCCAAAGTGACTTCCCACGGCCACAGGAGAGAGCTCACTGTTCTTAGTTTAGTATTGGGTTGGCCAAAAAGTCCATTCTGTTTTTTTCCCTGCGATGGCTGTGGGAGTGCCTAGTTGTCTTTAACTTCATTCAAAACAATTTTGTTAGATTGTATCGTGACAGCTGGCACATCAGCATGCATTCAAAAAGAAACTTATCAAAACCGGTGAATTTTTATCAGCCATTTCAGTGTTGGAAGACGGAAGAAAACACACATTTCCAGTGTATTATGCTTTATTATTTCAAGAAAGGTAAAACATGCAATTGAAATGCCAAAAAAAAAAAAGAAAAAGATTTATGCCGCATATGGAGAAGGTGCTGTGGCTGTTTGAATGGTCAAAAGTGGTTTGCAAAGTGTCTTAGCACTGTTGACATTTTGGCCAAATAATTTTTTGCTGTGGGGCTGTCTCATGCACTGGAAGGTGTTTAGCAGCACCCCTGGCTCTACCCAGTAGAAGCCAATCGTGGGAGAGGGCTGACATACTCAACATACCCAAATCAATGAAGTTATTGGTGGAAATGAAAAAAAAAAAAAAGGTGTCTTCTATTTGACAGAAAAAACTGAACAGACTTTTTGGCCAACCCAGTAACACACTCTCCCTGACGTGCCTTTTCCCCAAACTGCCCTTGACTTTGCACACTCTTTCCTCCGCCTGGACACCCTTCCCTGGGACGACCTCCTCACTCCCCACACCTGCCCATCCATCACTTCGGCAGGGTTGGCCTTCTGTATTTTGCCGTGTATAACGTGCACCCTAGTTTTTCCCTCAAAGATTGGGGCAAAACAGTGCGCATCATACACGGCAAAATACGGCACTTCCCCGGGGGACTTTATCCCGCCCTCCCTGGGATTCGTCCAGTGTCCGGGGGCCACTGCTGTTAGGGCGTGGATGATTCTGCGCTGCAGTTTGTGTCTGTATCTGCCTTCTCTCTCAGACTGTGGGCAACTTCTCTTAGGACCCCGGGGTGTCGACACATGCTGCGTGGCACCCAGTAGGTACACTCAGTGTTGAATGAATGGACAGGCGGGAGGGGTGTCTCCCTCTCTCATGAAAACGGCAACCTTGCTTTCGGAGTGTTCATTGTTCTCTTGGGCTTAGCCTTCAGGGAAAAGGGCAGAAGCCATCCTCTCTCTCTTCCTCCACAGGCTAAACATTGACCAAGGACGGAGGCTGGGGAAACATTTGTTTTGCAGTGCATTTCTTTCCTGTAAGTGTAGCTGCGGGGAAGGTGGGGAGGCAGCATGTCAGAGGAAACGAAGGACGGAATCCTTTTCCAGCACCACTGCCCCCAACAGAGCAGGAGGTCGCCAACCTCCTGGCAAGACTCTGGCCGAGTTCTTTAGGGGCCGTCGCAAGCCGTTTGTGAAAGGGTTAGTTAGGGACAAGATGCACCAACGCCACTTTTACGTCTTCTAACTAACTCAAGGCTCTCCCAGTCTGCAGCAGGACTTCCAAAGGAGGGGGGCTTCAAACGAGCTTCAGGTTCCCGGGAACCTTAGTGGAGCCAGGAAAACCCAACAGCTCCGGTGGGAAGGGGCTTCCCAGCCGCTCCGAGGGACTTTCCCTCCCCTTCCTCGCTCGACAGAACCCAGGGAGCCGTCCTAGCGAGGTGGCTGCGGGCTGGCTGCCGCCTGCTCCGTGAAAGCAGGGCCGGCGGTCCGCTTTGGTTTCCCTTTCGGTTCGCAGAACCGGTGTTCCCCCACCAGCTAGCGGCTGTCGCGGGGTAAACCATTATGACATAATGCGTCCTGCGAAGCTCTTCAACGCGCCGGGGCAACAGGGCTCACTGTGTCCTCCGTTCTGGGCGGCGGGGGCGGGGGCCGGCCGGGGGACCGCAGGGAGTCAAAGCGAGGCGCGAGCAATCTGCGTGCGCCCCAGCAGCTCCCTAGGCGGATGGGGAAGAGGAGGCAGGCTCCCATTCCACCCCTGGCTCCAGGCCACGTTTTCGCTTTGGCCACTTTCTCAGCCGCGTGAAAATTTGGCTGCACCTGGAGTAATTCAGAAACATCTCAGCCTAACTTTTGGCAGGGTCTCAGGCCTTAACTTTTCCAGTAGCGAACAACGTCCCTGTGTCCCTTTCAAAGCGCTCCTACGGGGCGGGCAGCTGCTGGCGACGGGACTCGGAGAACTCCACCCGTCCCGAACCGAGCCGCCCAGCGCCCACGCCGGGCGCCCCCGCGAAGGAGGGAAGCACCGCGGCGGGGCCAGGGGCGACTCAGAAACCGCCCTTCGCGGTCACTCACTCACCCCTGGGCGCTGGCCTCATCCTGCTAAGGAAAGAAGCGAGCTGGAAGTCCCCTTCCAAACAGAGGGCAGCTTAGGATGTGTTCAAACACACACAACAACCACCACAAAAAGTCTGGAGACTCACCTTGCAATCCCCCGAAGGACTTCCTGCCGACACGGTGGCCCAGGGGCCCCCCGGTGCTGCAGACGACGCAGTGATCTCACGTGGGGCGCGCACGGGCAGGGCCAGGCTCGTTTTCGGGGCTCCTGCGGGTGCCGGTCGCCGGCGGGGCCGGCTGCGGGGTCAGCGGGCACCCTGAGCCTACCTGCGCCGGGAAAGGCGCCCTCTGTCTTCCCCGCCCGCCTGCCGGCCGCCGCCTCGCATTTTTGAGGTTTTACTCCAACTGCGTCCGGGGCCCTGAAGTCACAGCCTGAACCTTCTGAATCAGGCGCGCTCGCTCTCCCGCTCCCTGGGCTCGTCCGGGAGTCCCACGGGGCCCACGGACCACGGAGCCCTCGGACTCGGGCGCACACGCCGGGCCGCGCCCTCTTTCTTGCCGCCAGTTTCCCCCGCCCCGCCCGCCCCCGCAGTTACGTGTCTGTGCCCTCTCCGTCCGGGACACGCCTCCTGCAGGACACAGCCGCCCCTCCCGGCGGGGAGCCGGTCCTCGGGCGCTTTCACAGCTGGAAAGTTCCCAGGCACCTGAGACCTGTTTGGGAAGGGGGTGGGAGGCGTTGCAGAGGGAGGCCCTGGGGCAGACTGGGTGGAGGCCGCAGTGCCTCATTTGGGCAGGCAGAAATGACTGGCTCCCCTAGTCTACTGCTGTGCGCGCCGCCGCAGCGCCCCCGAAAGTTTGCGCCACTCCCGGCAGGCACTGAGGGACAGTGCGCCAGGCGGGAGCTGTCAGGGCCCAGATGGAGGGGAAACTACCTCCAGGGACCTCTTAGACGTTCCCTTCCCTCTCCTCCTCAGTACCCACCCCCCACCCCCCATCCACTGTCTCTCAGGCCTTGGTGGGTGTTGTTTCTGGCACCTAGAACGCTGGAAAACAAAACGTGGGGTGCCGGACTCGGGACAGAAAGCCTCAGTGACTCAGGGTAGGGAGTTTATTGGTGGTCTCCATGGTTACTGTGGGTGGGGAATGAGGGGGTGATGCAAGGACCTGGCCGGGATGGGCCTCCTGAGAGTGGTGTCTCCTGGAGCCCTTCTAGGACACGGGCAGGGATACCTCCCACTTGATGGTTTCCACCAGGCTGCCCAGGTGCCAGGGGCTGAGCCAGGTCTGGCGCCCCTCCCACTGCGCTGCAGCGCGGCGTCTTTCCGCCTCTGCACGTTAGCGTTAGCATGACAGGTTAGCATTAGTGCGAGCCAACCGCTCCTCCTGAGGAACAGGAGGCTCCTCTCTGTACCTGCAGGGGAAACCACATGGCTCTGGGTGGAAAGGCCAAGGACATCACCCAGCCCTCAGGTGCAAATGCCAAGAATGATTAAGGGAAATGGCGGCGGGGGGGGATGTTTTCTTCCACTGGAAGATTAGATGAGGCTCTCTTCCAGGTGCTCGCGCTCAGGCTGGATTGGAACGAGAGGAAGGGAAGGTGGGCCCCAGGAGCAGGTGGGCTAACCAGTACTCAGGCAGGGCCAGCAGGGATTGGCAGGTGGGGGTGGGGTGGGGAAGAGAGGAGTTCCTCAGCACCTGGGTTTCCAGGTGGAAGGAAGCTCAACCCCTAATCCCGCTGGGGGTGAGTGGTCTGCCAGGTAAACTTGGCCCCGCCCATGCTGGGAGCTGGAAGACAGAGGGCAGTGGCCCCGAGAATCGAGGAGGGCAGGTGTGCGGGCCTGCAGGTGGGGAAGGGACAGGCATGTCCTTCCGTGCTAAGGAAGGACACTGGCCACTGGCCCGGGAGCTCGGTGGATAACGTGCCGTTCAGTGTTCCCTGCACAGCTGTGAGAGGCAGAGCCGCAGACCATGAGGCTGAGGGTCAGAGAAGTTAAGTGCCGTCCTCAAAGCCACACAGCTCGTCAGTGGGGGAGCCCAGCTTTGAGTCCAAGTGTTTCCCTCCCCCGTACCCCCCCAACCCGGACCACTCTGGCAGCACATAGAGGAGGAACTCGCCTCCTGTGTGGGGACCCCGCTCTGGAGTGGGGTGGTGTCCAGGCCTGGACTGAGGCCTGGTGGGGACGAGCTACAGACAGTCCTTGCCTGGAAATCTGCTGGGTTGGCCAGAAAGTCCACGTGTTTTTTTCTGTAAAATAAAGGACACGTTTTTCATTTTCACCAATAACTTTATTGATTTGGATATTTTGAGTTTGTTGGCTCTCTCCCGAGTGGTATAATGCTGACTGTTCTCAATTACTGTCTCGATTTGATCGCTATCAGCTTCAGCTGGTCTACCATAGAGCACCATCCAGCGAGAAAGCTCCAGCACAAAACTTTGCAAACCACTTTAAAAAAAAAAAGGTTGTATTTATTTACTTTGAGAGGGGAAGAGAGGAAGAAAGAGAGGGAGGGACATTAGGGTGCAAGAGATACATGGAAAAGTTTCCTCTCACATGACCCCAACTGGGGACCTGGCCCGCAACCCAGGCGTGTGCCCTGACTGGGGATTGAACCGGTGACCCTTTGGTTCTCAGGCCGGCACTGAATCCACTGAGCCACGCCAGCCAGGGTAGCAAACCACTTTTGACACATTCGGTCAGTCACGGCACCTTCTCCATATACTGCACGAATCTTTTGTTTGTTTGTTTCAGTTGCAGTTTTACCTTTCTTGAAATAATAAAGCATACTATGTGAAAATGTTGCTTATTTTCTTCCATCTTCAATATTAAAATGGCTACACAAGAATTCACCAATTTTGATTTTTTTTTAATGCATGCTGATAGGACAGCTGTCACAATACAATCTAACAACATTGTTCCAAATGCAGTTAAAGACAACTAAGCATCCTAGAGCCATCGTATGGGAAAAACAAACAAACATGTTAGCCAGCCCAATAGAACCCGATGTTACAGATTGTCCGTGGCCCAAGTAACAATTACTGAGGGTTGCTTTTAAGAGAAAACAGGAGGAAGCTAATTGAGAGGAACCGAGGCAAGTGACTTGAATACAGGGCTTCTCGAACACGACGGTCGATGGCAGAGGGAAAAAGCAGGGGGCAGTCTGTGAGGTGGCAGCTCTGCGATGTGTCAGACAGAGTGCGGGGAGAGAGACCGGTGGCTCACGGGCGAGCGAGATGCCGGCGGGCCGGCCTGCAGTGCACTGCCAGGCCACAGGGCGAGGTGAGGGGTGGACAGCCCTGGAGGAGGCCTTCCTGGCAGAAGGGAGGGAGCGGGTGTCCAGCCCCAGGGCTCTCGCTCTGGGAGGACGGGGCGCCCCTCACGGAAAAGCAGGCCAGAACCCCCACCTGCTGTTCTCTTCTCTGGGCTGTGAAACCCCAACTCTGATGAGCTCATGGATGGCCCCGGGCAGCCACAGGGCTGTGACATTTTGCTTCATCCTTATTAGGGCTCATTTTTTTTTGGTAAAGCTATTTGAAGGTGGTCAAGAAGTTAGTGGGCTCTAAATGGAGTGCAACAGAGCATTAACATCTTTCTTTTTAAAAAAAGAAGCCAAAAGAAGCAGTCCGGTGTAATTTGAGTGACCACCCACTGCGAGCACCTGCTGAGCCCTGGTTTCAGTACAGCGGGACGACCGTGCTGCCCTGCCTCCCAGGTTGCTGGCTGTGAACGCCAAGGGCGCACCTGGCACAGGACGCAGCACACCGCTTGCTTTGCTCCTGGCTGCGCCCCGTTGCAGACAGCTGGCTTGCCCTGGGGGTCAGCACCCCCCTCCCCGCCCCGTCCACCCCGTGCTGCCAGCAGACTCTTTCCCGCCAGTTCACAAATCCCCTGGGTGTAGAAGGCGTGTAGAAGTTACTGCCCATGCAGCCAGGATGGTGCTGCCCCCAACTGGGCAAGCTCTCCCAATACGGAAGATATGAGAACATTATTTTACTCTCACCTAAAAACTAGGGCGCATTCTGGCCTCTGACACTTGGGCAACAGTCTAGAAGCGTGAGTGGGCCACCGAGGGTCACGGGCATGCTGAGGGGCACCTGGACACGGGCAGCGCTGTGGACAAGGCGCAGCCTGTTAGGAAGCGATCAGCCGGTCAGTGGTGTGGATGCGATGAGCCCGGACTTGTTCACCGCATCCCGCCAGGGAGCGGCCTGGAGCCATGAGGCTTGGAGCCACGAGGGAGGCAAGTTCAGGGCATGTCGGCAGAAACACTACACCACGCAGCAGGTAATGAATTTACGGAATGGATCACCGCCGGAGGTGGCTCAAGCTGGCACCGGAAGTGGATTCCAGAACGGGGTGGACGGACGTGTCCGTGCCAGAGCCGCGGGGAGGCTGCAGGGAGCTGAGGTCTACTCCCTGTGGGCGGGAGTTCACACTGGGCGTCTGTGGGGGCTTTGGGGACCGGAGCCCGGGCTGCCATGGACCTTGGACTTGAGCTGGTTGGCAACGCCAGCACCACCTCCCTAAGCCTTTGCTCACGAAGGCAGCAAAACCTTGTTCTTTACACCCTGGCCAAGTCCTTTCTGCAAACGCTTTTTGTTTCAGTCTCACGCTACTCAGTTTTAGCAGGTTATTCAAAAAAGAGTGTGTGTTTCCGGCTTAATTATCCTTCTAAGGAAATCTTTATTCTGTGACCACCCCCTGCCTCCAGGACTGCCCCTCGCAGCCCTACACAAACACGCCGCTGTTTCCTTCTGGCTTTGGACGTCTGCACAGATTCGGAGAGCTTGTTTTCACACCGGCCATTACATTGATCTCTCGCAATTCCGTTTCTGTTCAGACCTCCCCTGCTGAACTGTCAAATTGGGACATCAATTACTCCAAGTGCGAGCGCCCTCTGGAGAGCCGAGACCATGCCCTCCCCTCGGGAGCTCTGCTTGCGGCAACATCCGAACGCCTTCGGTGCTGCATCCAGGATGCAGGACGACGGTTACTTTTATGGTGGCAGCCCCAGATGTTGGCCTTGGGGGTGGTTTTGGAAACTCGGGGTGTCTCCCCTTGCACACCCGTGTCCCTCGGCTCTGCGTGCTCAGTGCGCTCCCGAGCGCTGCTGCGGGTTCTCGGGAGGGCGCGCCCCTTCCGGTCCTGGGGCTGGAGTGTGAGTGGCGGGGGCTGGCGTGGTAGACCCGGTGTTCAGACCCCGGGGCATGCAAGGGCTCGGTTTTCATGCTCCGTTTCTGTCGCACAGTCCCCCCCCCCACCCAGGGTGGTGTCCTGAAGGCTGTTCTTACAGCCCTGACCCTGTGCACTGGCCAGCTCCACTGCTAGGCATCCTCAGGGGGCACTGGGCTGTGGCTCTGCGGGAGTGTAAACAGCAGGCCTCTGGATCCCCTCCTTCTGCCAGGAGGAAGCCCCCCTGAGTCCTTGCTCCTCTCTCTGTGGCCCCGTGTCTCCTGCGCTCCTCTGCAAGATGGCTCACCTATGGATGGATGTATGGAGGGGGCGCCTGTGTGAGCTTCTTCTGGCATCTACAGACACCAGGTGTTTCCTTACATGTCCCTCCAGGG